AGCCACCTCAAGTTGGCTCGCGCCATGGCAGAGCCAGCTCAGCCTGGACGACACTTGCCTCACCTCCCGTAACCATTTTTAAGTCCCCATCTGCTTTCGTTCCTGTTCAAGTTGATCCAGTACCTTTTTTAAAGTCGTACGACAGCGTGGATCTTTCTCGATTCAAGATGAAGATCACGAATCACCTTAGTCCTTTGCATAGGGATCGAGGCAAACTTCCAGTAATAGAACGTTTGGGCCCAGTGAATGAACCTCGAACAACTCACCGGATCGGGGGTCATAAACGGCCTCCCAACAAGACCATTCCTGAACCGCCCATTTGGGGGTGTGTACAGAAGACCAGGAGCCTGTTAAGGATGCACCCTCACAAGGACGTGGTCCTAAACACGCGACTCCTGCGAACGGCAACAAGGTGTTACCTATTCAGAAGAAAACATGTCTGTCGAACAACAACGTTATACCTAGAGAATCAAACCAACAGTTGATAGGTTACCCCGACTATAATGTCGATGAGTTATACTATTAGGCTGGGGGTATGAATAAATCTTGAAAGAGATGTACCCGATAATTAGACTCTCATTATCCTTGTGAGAGGTTAATCAGGATAGTCTTACCATAGTATATCTACCCCAAGACCGCTCAATGGAGCATCTCAATATTCGAAAGAATCTCCACCGAAGTGTCCAAATCTAAATCAAGATGCTTCTACAAGAAGAAATCTGACGGTTATGACGACGAGCTTCTAGAAGTTACCATAAATGTAGCCAATAATAGAAAATCGACAAGGCATTAAAGCCCTGGCTCTTTCTCAGAGGCATCTTAGTGCATCGCTTAGTTACAGTCAAGAACTAGACGACCTAGACCGGATAGAGGACAATCTTCGGAGGATGAAACATCGAACACTAACTCCATGATCACTTCTGATAATACAGTATCCAGCACATGACAATCTCGTGAGGCGTTCATGATCAACTATGAACAAATGGCCAAAATCCTCGAAGATGCTCTGGCCAGGCAAAAAAAGAATTTTAAATTCTAAATGGAAATGACAGTGCAACGGATAAGGGAATTGCATGATCAACAATTCAAGCTTTATCAAATCAGATTGGTGAATCTAGCCATCACAATGCTACTAATCAAATAGATAGAGATTCAGACGTGGATGAAAATCTCAACGCTGATACCCCTCTTGTTGACTAAAATGTTGGGGGTGGTCCCACCGAGGATGACAACGCTAGGGGTAATCTAGTTGTTTCTCCTCAAAATTGCCCGAAGGAAAATGAGGGCGTGGACGAGAAAATGAAAGACCTAAAGAGCAAGATCAACGAATTGATTTCCACTCAAGAGGTAAAGAAGATTGGTATTCCATATCCCTACCCAAGGGAGTGGGAGTCAATCTCATATCGGGCTCATGACTTGAACTCCCAGGAGTATACGAGTATAAACTGGTCCTCCACACTACAACACTTTAAGAGCTTAAACTGTATAGACTCCAGTTAACGTATGAGTATAAATTGTGTTCACGCCGACCAACACGTTACAGTGCAAGTTAATGTCGGTCAACGCATTGTAAATAAAGGTCAAACGCCGATCAACACGTTACGATGAAAGTCAAATGACAGTCAACGCATTACGACAAAGGTCAACGCGTAATGACGAAAGTCAAATGTCAATCCACATGTTGCAATGAAGGTCAACGCGGGTCAACCCGTTGCTATGAAGGTCAGCACCAACCAACGCATTGAAAATTTCACCGAAACAAGGCTCAGATCAATTCTAGGTCAAATGATAATCCCCAGGGAGCCCAATGAAGATGATCGGTTCAATGTCAATTCAACAACACGAGCTAATTCAGATATCAACACGCCAGTCTCAGTTCAAGATTTCGACACGGTCAGACGATAAACGCAACACTGGAAGAATTTTAGCTATTCGACAAACTACTGAGTAGACTGAAAGCTGAAGAAGTCGACGAATTGAAGGTTGGGCATTGTAGGTATCAAAAATTACCTATAGGTTCATGCATGCAGTTAAAGATGGAGAGAAGATGATGAACGTCATTATCCAAATCAATTAGGGTTATCTGATGTCGATAAGTGCATAAAGCGGATCGGCGAAGTGTTGATGACGTAACAACAAGCATCGGAATGGAAAACCAAGTGGCTCATATGCTAACTAGCCACCTCTAAGTTAAGGAAATGTATGAAGTAAATCGGTGAAGCGTACGAGTCAACGTGACACGCAAAATAGCAAAACAACTCAAGTAGGAATTGTGTTTCGCCCAAAAGGGGTGAAACACCATGTGTGACTCACCCACACCATGTGTGGCTCACCTATTAAAAGTTGTAGATCTTTTCATCAGCTTTCCAATGCATCTTGAATCACCTTATTCCGAGATCAGACGAGAGAGTTAGAGCCAAAATACCCGAGGTGGTACGAACTGGCTCGCAAGGCCGCGAGGGAGTTAGAGCTAAAATACTTGATGTGGTACGAACTGGCTTGCAAGGCTGCGAGCCACCATTTGGTGGTTCGCATAGCTCCGAGCCGCCAGGTGGTGATCCGCTCCCAAAACTTCCCAAAATACGGGTTTTGATATTTTTTATGGATTCTTTCATTCCAGGACATCCCTAACTATTTTGAAGCTATCCCTAAGTGCGGTTGAGTGGTTATCAACTGCAGATGACGTCAAAACACTTAATCTTATCAGAAAACATAGCGATAAAAGCCTATAAATAGAAGCTCAGGGTCTTCATTAGAGAGGATCTAAATCTATGGGCGAGGTGCTGTCAAATTGAGCAGTAAACCACAAATTTTAGAGGAAAATTGGCAGATCTTGGCGAACTTTTTCATAAAGAAAAAGCCTTCGAAAGATTTGAGATTCTCTCTCCATCTTTTCTCTGGATCAAACTTTGTTTTGATCCCGAGAAGAGGCACAATCTCGCTTGGTCGTGATTGTCGCTGTTGTAATTATTTCCTTTGTGAAACAAGAGTATAATTAAACTTGTCAACAGTATCTGGTCCGCGACGGTCCACAGACTAACACGTCCCCGGCACAGGCAAAGATCTCACGCAAAGCAACAGGAGATAAACTACTGCTACGTTTTGTTAGATAAAATTATAATCTTTTATTTTTATTATGTAAGGAGATCTTATAAAAAGATCAATTTTCCTTTCAGTTTGAACTTGTAATCGATAAACGGTATAACAGGTTTAACAACAATGGAAACAATAACTTTTGATGAAAACAAACTGGCGACCACAGTGAGAGCTGTCGGTTCGGGTTCCCGATATAAATCTGATCGTACCTGAACTGAGGGGCGAACCGACACGGTAAGTACAGCTCTATATAATAGTGATTTTGTACACAAAAGATCACGTATCCTGGCCAGATATTAATCAACCAAACAAAGCAACCGGAATCGAGGGAAGTCAGACCCATACTCGGCTTCTCCATATCAATCAGCGAGTCGCCTGAAAGACCCAACACTTTTGGTTTTGAAACTGCTTTTTAATCTCTACGAACCCTCGTCCTTTTCATTTGAAGTTTTTTATTAATTGGAGAAAAGGAATAGAGAGATCTACCGAAGTTGGGGCCGACATCATGTCTGAACGGTGAAGGACCAACCAAGCCATCAAATAAGTATAAGGAAGTTCTACCTTTGTGAGAGGAATCTGAGTTGATGGCTTACCCTTCCCTTGAGTGAACACACTCACAATTTGGCGAAGCCCTCTGTGAATATCCACAGTCATCATCAGAAGAAGAGACAGATTCTTCCGATGAGCGAGCAGAACTGTGGGGTAAAGAACTTCGAGAGGCAGTGTGTCGGTAGATTGATATGGCACCACACACTTCTTTAACCAAATAGCGAGGTACCCGACAAGCAACGTCATAGGCCGGATTGGATTTATCCCTTGCCACAAAAATGTTTAGAACTTGGTTTCAGCAGCAAAACCATCCTCAACGCTAGCTATAGTTAAGACGAGGCATTGGACTTTTTGATTAATTCGTTGACTTCGGTGGGACTCAGCGGCATCAACTCATAGATTGCCTCGCCCAAGCCGCTATCTGTGTTCCTGAATAGATAATCCGCAAATTTCTTCAAACTTATCTATGGTCGTGGCTTCTTTGATAATGGATCAGCACATGCCATAGCTATATGGTAGTGGCAGGTGAGATCCCATAGAGTATTGTAGCGGTTGGGCGTCCGCGACATCAACTGTTACAGCTCCTGGCTAGAAGGGAAGTATTCTTGATAAATCATGTTACCCATCGGGAGACCGAAGACCTTATGCATCTCATGCAGCACTAATCCTAACTCACCATACTTGGTCAAAAATGTGTTGGTGTCGGGATTGTAAAGCTCCAATAGCGCCAGGAAGTGAGGGACACTAATCGTTAGCCCATAGGTGGTGGCGTGGATACTTGCGTACAAACCACTAGCCTTCAACTCCTCACTAAACTGGTCTAAGATATCATTGCTCAAGCGAGCCCACCAAAGCTTATCCGATGAATGCACCCATCCATAACATCGGTGACCAGTTGCTGGCATCTCTCGACCCAAAATCGCGAGTCGGTTCTTCACAGTGTTAGCAACAGTAAAGATTTCACCTTTGGGTGGGTCATTCAATCCCACGATCCTCGGATGTAACCCTGTTATCCGATTCCGATCACTTGACCCAGGAGTCGTGCCATGGGTGATATAGCCACAATGAATACGGTCATGTTCCTCTGTTAACCTCCATGACATTTCCCACGAAACGGCTTAACACCGTAGCTTTGTTAGCAAACGGTGACGAGGAATCGGAGGGAGGTATAAATGGTCACCGTCATCATGATGCAGCTATTGCTCGGTTCCAAGAGATGCAGCAGCTGGATCTTCTACAGAGTCGCCAAATAAGTAGTCTGGCTTCCTCAACGGATGCGTAGAATTTGGATCCTTCACTAGGGGCGCATCCGTGATAAGTTGCCTTAAACTACGGCGCTCTCCCTTCCGTATTAGCTACGGGAGCTCTTCCGGTGCACCCGGAGCGAATTGGGGAACCACCGGTACAGGGATGGGCTCATCAGTAGAGGCATAAGCTTCACTGTAGTGACCTTCCACCGCATGAGCATTAAACCCCCTTGAGAGAAATTCAACTGAGGTAAAACAATGTACAATTATTAGATACAGTCATAAATACCTATGTTAAGGTAGTATAGGCGTCGAACTCGACTCACAAGCTGTGAGATAGAGTAACGGCCTAATAAATGGCGAGACGATCTTAATTATATCACACACGTAAAGGACTAAGCATGTTAACGTGCAAACGACACGATAACATACCCAAGTCCGCGTGATATGACACGACATGAGATCGCCCTATATTGCCTTAAAATATATTTTGACCAAGCAAAACATGTCTTGTGAAGCGTCCACACCCACAAAGGAGAGTGGCGGCTCTTCCCAATTTCCTCACAAAGGAGAGCAAATCGGGGATAGCATACAGGATACATATTCATGATAATATTTTAAAAAAGGGAAATAAATAAAAATAAAGGGGGCGATTAAGAGCTGCACTTTACACACGAAGCACGGGATATTTTGTCATGCGAATAATGTGATAATATACCCTCCCTTAGGAATGTAGTACAGCGGGAAATCCCCCCAAGTTAATTCAGACATGTCTTGACCTAGCAAAACGCGTCTTGTCAAGCGTCCTCCCCCACGAAGGAGAGTGGTGGCTCTTCCCAATTGCCTCACCAAGGAGAACAAAGTAGGGATGTAATATGCGATATGATATAATAATATTGAATTCGTGAATAAAAGAGGTGATGACGTTATACCTATGCAACTGAAAGGCGCTGGCTCGGATGACTGAGTCACCGAACGACCCCTCGGGATACGTGACCTCTTTGGCGACATGACTAATCTGCAAAGAAAATTAATGGTTTAGTTATGTCAAGAAGTGAATATAAGAAAGATCGTTTAATAAATCAAGCCAAATATCTCGGAGTTTCGGTTCGAGACATACACGTGGCCGAACAAGAAAGCACAACGTGCCTACAAATTGGACAATCGTGTGTACTAAAAGCCTAATATAGCAGTTATCACGCAGGATTCCAGATTCAAATTACATAACTGTTCGTGTCGAAAACTAAAAGTTTAATTCATATAAGAACAGTTCTCGTGCATGACTACATATGCAAAATGGGAGGGTAGTAGACAAGCCAGATCATTTCTCAAGCTCAAGAACATGGCGTTTGTACAGAGTCAAGTTAAATACCTCACATACACCTAACCAAGTCAAACATGGGGATTTAAGCGGATTACAAGCAGAGTTTATCCTTTACCAAATTCATGCATACAAGGGTTTCACCCATACATGAAAACAAGAGTCAAGACCTTGGGTCTTGTATGGGATCGGACAAACCAAGAATTAGGGTTTCGATCTAAAATCCTAGGTCTAAAGGAAAAGTTTCGGCCATGAATCAAGTACTCAAATATGAAAATTTGAGTGAAATAGAAATGAGTACAATAGGTTTTACCTGGAATTCATGAAGAACAAAGCTCGTTGCCAAAAAGAAACTCGAACCCAATTGAAGAAGAATCCAAACCCTAGATCTCGAGGTGGGGTTATCATTCAAAACTGAAGCTTGAAGGGGAAGAAGTGAGAGGATCAAAAACTCTAATCAAGAAGCCCGAACTTGGGAGGAGAATTTTTAATTGAAGAAGAAATTCTGAAATAAAGAAAGGAAGAAGAAGAAGAGAACGGGTTTTATAAACCTTGCACTGAACCCAAATCCGACCTTGAACCGGACCTGGCTCTGAATCGAACCGGACCAAGTTTAAACCAAACCTGACCCCAATAGCCAA